GCGGTATTCCCATTCCCTTTGCCAATTCTCACGAGGTTTTAAATTACCCGTTTAATCCATATCTTCTAATATTCTATACCATCTGGCCATCTCTTTTTTTACAAACACATTATTCAAAATATTTAGAATGCAGTGGGCATTTTATTTCTATTGTTGTTATATATGAATCTTACCGTCCTTGGACATAAAATGTATTATTTTATAGTATGTAAGACTCACCCATTTGTCCAGCTTTAGATGAGGAATGTTGTTCTTAAAAATTTACAAAGGGGCAGAGGGCAATACTTTGTCTTTCATGCCTGTACGGTGTTTATATAATATCCAAAATTCAATACAATTTAGTCACCATTGACCATTGGCTTTACATTTTTCAAGATGGGGCCATAATGCGCATTCTAAATTAGCCATCCCTGCAGTTGTTGTTCTATATAATACCAATTTGTATCTTTATTTTGTTTACATTGAAGCTAAGATAAGTGACATAACCATCCATCTCTCTTGATGTCCCCATCATTAAAATCAAATTCCGTAACAACAACAAGAAACCATGTTTGTTAGTTTAACCCCAAAATGTAGAAATTAAAAAATAAAAACAGTGAAGTCTATCTTTCTATTACAACAAATAGCATGCATTGTGTACACACACCAATACAGCAAGAACAGTCCCCTTTAAATTATATGGGAACAGGGCAACCTAACACCCATTGTACGAGTCACATTAGGTTTATAAAACACCAGTCATGTTCTGTTTGACAGAATTTATTACCTGTGCTGGTCTCTGGCCAAAAACATTGCAAATTACACTGCTGTTCATGAAGAGCACACAGCATTGGATTTCCATTAAATTTCACTAACCTGGCTTTAATATTTTCAGTTTTCATCTAAAGAGGCGAGGTAAATTTCATTTACAGGACAGTGATCCCATTGTGCTGCAGCTCAATGCTATTTTTGGTCTTTGGCCAAAAGTCCCCACTCGGACCTGGAACTCACGTCTATCAGTAGAGAGAAAGTGATCCAACGTGAGAAAGATACCAAGTGATTTTAATGACACTTCTCTGTGTTTATGTAACATGTATTAAGAAACCAGTGATATTGCATTGTGAGTCATTTTTAAATGTGCTGAAGTGTTTTGTTAGACGTTGGAGGCAGTGATATTTACTTGCACTAGTAATAGGCCTAGCTGATTACAGAGTTCTAGGGTTGGCTCCTTGCGTTTCAGCTTCAGTCAATGCTGTTAGCGGCTAAATTACTTGCAGCTAAGCCAGTTTACAGATTTATCCCTGCGGACGGAATGGAGCAATTCAACAATTCCCTCCGATCCCAGCTAATCTCTGGACCGGTTAAACTGCAGAAGATGAAAGAGAGCTTCCAGGAGAGAATCTAACACCGGGACAGCTGTTGCTCCACAAAGCCAGAGTAGAACGTTCTTTGGACTTACAGTAATATTCTAAAACTGCCAAGGTCATATTCCTCAGCATAAATGGTGACACATTCCTAAAGACCCGTGCCATCCAAGTTTTTAATTGAGTTGCTATTTCTGAGTTCATATATGTGTGAGAGGGACTGATGATAATCTTTCAGCATATAGAAATCCACAAAAATAAGTCCTACGCTCAGACTCCCACCACTCCTGGGCGGCAGCAATGACCATAGCACACATCAGCCTCAATACATACAATAAGAACCAAACTAAAAAAGTGTTACCTGCGCACTAGCCCAAAACCCTATACATATTTATATAAATGGAGGTTTTTAGTTTCACTCCAATGGTCATTAGGTATGAGCCCACCTGCCACCTGCTACATGTCTTATAAACACTGGATAGATGTAGCGCTATATTCAAATTTGTATAGTAATGGAGATAAAAAATAAAGGGAGAGAGGGAGTATAAAAGGCAGTATCTCAAAATATCTTTAAATAAATCTTCCCAGTTTTTAGTTTCTAAAAAACATAAACAGACAAAACAAACATAGTGTATACTGTATAATGTAATTAAGTTATAAAAAAGAAGGGATAAATTCTCACTCACACTTTTAAGAGCTAATATTAGCGCTCTTGGGGTTCAGTAAAGGCGACCCTCACCCTTCTTTGAATATAAGTGCTTCTTGTATTCTATTAGGATGAAAGAAAACGAATATGGTGCAGTACCGTTGATCTTAGGTGTAAATAGTAACCAAGATGGGGTACTAACAAACTTAGAGCCATCCAAATCGGCTCTGGTCTGAGCGCTTCTGTGGTTAAGGACCACACACCTTCTTTAAAAAATAGCGGGGATAATGCCAATAACGTGGATAAAAAATATACAATATTTATTATAAACAATAACAGTATAAATATATATATATATATATATATATATATATATATATATAAAAAATCAATAAAATTAAATTGGCATAAAAATTCCAAAGGTCCAAAGTCTCAGTCTTATTCCAGGGACGCGTTTTGCCTATACAGGCTTCCTCAGCTGGATATAGTGATGTAGTCTCTCATGGAATTCCCCTGCTATATGTACCAATCTCTATATACTTTTTTGATCCCTAAAAATATTGTATCTTTGGTATCACAGTTATGAGCAATTTTGTAATGTGCTGAAACACTGTGTTTCTTGAAACCTTTTGTAATGTTGCGGCCGTGTTCTTCAATTCGAATATGTAAGGGTCTAGTTGTTTTTCCTATGTACTGTAAGCCGCATGGGCAAATTATTAAATAAATAAGCTTTTTGGAATAACAGCTTAAAAAATCTTTAATTTGATACTCTGTTCCATCTTTATTAGTAAAATATTTGACCTGACGTTTTTTATTGTTAGTTCTCTTGCACGCTAGACATTGACCACATCCGAAAAAGCCTTTTTCTGTATTTAAAAAGGTGTTTTTATCTTTATTTTCTTTTAGAAAGTTTGAAGTCAGAGTATCACATAAATTATTAACCCCTCTATGTATGAATCTAGGTCTTTTTGGTAGGAAGGTTTTGGCGATGGGATCTTGTAATAAAATTGGCCAGAATTTAGAGACTATTTTTCTCACTTTATAATTATCGGTACTGAAGTTATATATGAAGGGAATTTCCATAAAAGAGTTTTCATTTTTTTTCCTTATATTTTAAAAGGTTTTTTCTTTCTATACTTTTAACTTCTTCTCTCGCTTTCTCTAATTTAAATTCTTCGTATCCTTTATCTATAAAGTCTTGCTTGATTTTACTGGACCGAGTTTCAAAGGTAGTTAGGTCTGTGCAATTACGGCGAATACGTAAGAATTGGCCTTTAGGGGCATTTTCAAGCCATGGGGAGAAGTGGCAACTTTCTCTCCTTATATAGCTGTTAGCTTCTACTGTCTTAAAATGGTTTTAATTTTATTCTCTTCAATATATATATGTAAGTCGAGAAAAATTACTTCAGTTTTGAAGTAACCAGCAACTGGAGCAAAACTGAAGTAATTTTTCTCGACTTACATATATATATTGAAGAGAATAAAATTAAAACCATTTTAAGACAGTAGAAGCTAACAGCTATATAGGGAGAGAAAGTTGCCACTTCTCCCCATGGCTTGAAAATGCCCCTAAAGGCCAATTCTTACGTATTCGCCGTAATTGCACAGACCGAACTACCTTTGAAACTCGGTCCAGTAAAATCAAGCAAGACTTTATAGATAAAGGATACGAAGAATTTAAATTAGAGAAAGCGAGAGAAGAAGTTAAAAGTATAGAAAGAAAAAACCTTTTAAAATATAAGGAAAAAAATGAAAACTCTTTTATGGAAATTCCCTTCATATATAACTTCAGTACCGATAATTATAAAGTGAGAAAAATAGTCTCTAAATTCTGGCCAATTTTATTACAAGATCCCATCGCCAAAACCTTCCTACCAAAAAGACCTAGATTCATACATAGAGGGGTTAATAATTTATGTGATACACTGACTTCAAACTTTCTAAAAGAAAATAAAGATAAAAACACCTTTTTAAATACAGAAAAAGGCTTTTTCGGATGTGGTCAATGTCTAGCGTGCAAGAGAACTAACAATAAAAAACGTCAGGTCAAATATTTTACTAATAAAGATGGAACAGAGTATCAAATTAAAGATTTTTTAAGCTGTTATTCCAAAAATCTTATTTATTTAATAATTTGCCCATGCGGCTTACGGTACATAGGAAAAACAACTAGACCCTTACATATTCGAATTGAAGAACACGGCCACAACTTTACAAAAGGTTTCGAGAAACAGTGTTCGGGCACATTACAAAATTGCTCATAACTGTGATACCAAAGATACAATATTTTTAGGGATCAAAAAAGTAGATAGAGATTGGAGAGGAGGTGATTTCGATAGTAAAATGAGTAAAATAGAGATGGAGTGGATTTTTAAACTTAACACCCTAATTCCGAATGGACTCAATGCAGATTTTGAGATGTGCCATTTTTTTAAAATAACCTGTATTCCACATGCGCTTAACATTGCCTGTCCTTCTTTAGAGGATTTTCCTGTTTATACCTTTTTAGATAGACTCTGTTTTAAAACACGTCTTTTCAATTCAAATCAGAATATTTTCTTTTATATTCATGAACTCCTCCTCTTTATAATAGATAAAAAGACAAACTATCCATAAAATGTATTAAGATTCATGTATAGAGATTTATTAATTTTAAATAACCTTTTTTTATACTTAAAAAGATGTGTAAAAATGCATATTTACGGAGAAAAAAATTCCCAAATTTTGAAGTTTTCTATATTAATGTGCTATGTTTCCTACAATATATATTCAACTATTAATATCTAATTCTTTTCAACAAAAAGAATAATAACATGGATGTAGGCATAAAGAATAATTTTATTGTATTTCATTTATTATTATTATTTTTTCTGCTTTATATCATTATTTATTACTTATTATTGTTCCTGATTTACTTCAATAATTGAGTCTAAACTATGTGGGAATAGAATAGAAACTGTAAAAGGAGTTTGCAACATGTAATAAATTGCAACATTATATAATTATATCTTATGTCCTTGTATACCAATGCCGATGTGATCGCAACGAGGGAAGAACTGGTGAACTGTATAATGGAATGCACGGAAATGACGTATCGGCGAAACCGGAAACGACGCAACACAAACCCAGAAGAAAGAAGGAGAAAGAGGCTTGGAACGCAGGGCATCACCGTTTCCATGGTGATTGCCCGCGAAAATACAAGCTGGACACCAATTATCTACCCCTTAGAGGGGTACATATAGCAGGGGAATTCCATGAGAGACTACATCACTATATCCAGCTGAGGAAGCCTGTATAGGCGAAACGCGTCCCTGGAATAAGACTGTGAGACTTTGGACCTTTGGAATTTTTATTGTTTATAAAAAATATTGTATATTTTTTATCCACGTTATTGGCATTATCCCCGCTATTTTTTAAAGAAGGTGTGTGGTCCTTAACCACAGAAGCGCTCAGACCAGAGCCGATTTGGATGGCTCTAAGTTTGTTAGTACCCCATCTTGGTTACTATTTACACCTAAGATCAACGGTACTGCACCATATTCGTTTTCTTTCATCCTAATAGAATACAAGAAGCACTTATATTCAAGAAGGGTGAGGGTCGCCTTTACTGAACCCCAAGAGCGCTAAGATTGAGCTATTATACATTAGCTCTTAAAAGTGTGAGTGGGAATTTATCCCTTCTTTTTTATAACTTAATTACATTATACAGTATACACTATGTTTGTTTTGTCTGTTTCTTATGTTTTTTAGAAACTAAAAACTGGGAAGATTTATTTAGAGATATTTTGAGGTACTGCCTTTTATACTCCCTCTCTCCCTTTATTTTTTATCTCCATTCCTATACAAATTTGAATATAGCGCTATATCTATCCAGTGTTTTCGAGTTCTTATTTTCTAAAGATATCCAGATGTTATAGCAGCTTTATATATTATAAATACTTTTTATACAGATTGTTATATTATTTTGGAACATCAGCGCTGGTACACCCTCTCTTCTCTACATGTCTTATGTGGGTCCTACACTAACAATTCATCTTGCTTAATCCAGCTTCAGAAAAAAATATCTCTAATGCGACAGAGAGGGGATTTCTTTGCCTGAAGCTCAAGGGGGCAAGGTGAATTGTCAGTGTAGGACCCAACTAAGAGGTGGACCTCGACTTGGTAGGTGGGTTTGCATCTAATGGCCATTGGAGTAACTAAATAGCCTCCATTTATTTAAATATGCATAGGGATTTGGGAAGTATAGATAGCCAAGTACCAAACATGGATATTGAGTGATGGAATGATTGGTAAGAACACATTCGCAATGTTTTTTGTTTTTGTTTTTTACATTGTTCCCTCATGTTCTGCCCTTCTGTCTTCCTGCACTCTAGTTAACCATTTAAGGTTATCTGCGGCTTGGTGTATGCTGTAGATTACAATCAGAGAGAGAAAGGGATGGATCAACGGGTGGTGTTCATTTGAATCCACATTTTAATTTCTTTTGTCTCTGCTGTGAAATGAAAATACACTTTACGTTGTTGCTCCTTAGTATCTGCAGACCCTCAGCTGTGCTTAGACAGTATATCACATTGAGGGCACAGGGGTCACTGAATCCTGTTTAACTGGTCTCTCCTGACCCTTCCTTGCAGAGTTGATACATTGATACTAAGAGCTCGGATTCCAGCACAGGGGGGACCTGCGCATGTTTATTGAGTGTCACAGTCTGCAAACTACACTAGCAACTCGTGCAGGGCTGGTCTTCAGAGAGGCCATATCACCTGTTCACGTCCTATCCCAGCAGTACTACCTCCTTCAACAATTACTTCTATAAAGCAGTCTCTCTGAATCACATAGTGTATTTTACTAAGAGATGTATTTCCAAGAGATCCCCAAGCAAGATTTGAATGTCAGAATTATTTGTTACCTTGTTGTAAATTGAATTAACTCCCTCTTAGCTGCAATGCACAGTGCTCCAGATTTATTTAAATTATTTGTTGGCGGTACTTCCTTTTTCATTTTATTTAATCACATTCGTTGGGTTCACTTAGTTCCTGAAATCAAACACTCTTTATTCTAGAGCTTTTTAACCCCTTCTGAGATTTTATTTTTGCCTTGTTTACTGTCGGGAACTCAAAATCTTAGAATTTAAGGAGTTTTATCTTTCATTTTTGCTTTTTCCTAATTAACCATTTAAATACATTCTTAACTAAACACTCTTAAGTATCCTACAAACCAGAGCATGTGGAGAAAATAAAATGCTATATTAAACATTTGTTTATACTTTTTTCATGGTGAGACAACAATAACCAACAATAACAATGTCTCTCGATAAGCACGATTCTGGAGTAAGAAATGCATTAAGCACGATCTAGCTTTATTTGATTTATTTCTGACACATTTGTATATTTTGAAAGAAAAACCCATTTTAACCAATTTTAAACCCGTTTTAACCCATTTTTCAGCACTATGGAATTTGCTGGTGCTATATATAAATAATATAATAATAATAATAATAACAATAATAATGGAAGCTCTTAAAGGAACACTACAAGCCAAACAGTAGTCCCCCATTTATAAAATGAGGTACCTATTTTATGAATAGGCAGCCACTGATTGGCTTGGAGTGTCAGCTGACCGCTCTAGCCAATCAGCAGAGCCCCTGCCAGGGAGCACTTTGCGCTTCCTAAACTGCAGATCCGGTGCTAGAGGCAGCCTTTTAAATCACTCGAGAACAGTTTAACCCCCTCAGGCAAGAAAGCGCCGGGGGGCCTCCTTCTCTTGGCACTATAACATTAAGTTGTTATGGTGACTGGAGTGTTCAGTCTATTCAGTCTAGACACCATAACTACTCCATACCCATTTAGTCTCTATGGTGTCATAAAGCAGTTGGTGTCACACCACAGTATCTTAGTCAAACCATTTTCCAGTAGGGTCCCAGAGGCACTTGCAATCCAATCTCTGCACGCTAGAATTGCTAAAGCATAAATTCCATATTTTAATGATAGTCGAAGACCGAGTGGGTTCAGTGACCAGTGATTGGCTTTAGAATATGGACGAAATTGATATAGAAAAATATCTTGTTGAACCAATTTAACTGTTTTGCAATAAATAACAATACCATTGTACAAAACAACTTTATGGCACTGTCAGAGGGGGCATCACTGCAACTACGAGGGATGTGCCGCTACAATATCCATTCCTTGTAGGCAGGTTCATGGAACCTAGTGAGTCTGGGGAGCGTGTTCAAACCATAAGAGACCATGAGTGAAATATAACAGGGACCCAAGAGTTAAAGAGCTCTAAGTGATGGTATGTTCACTCTGTATAAATTTTTTTCTTCCAAAATTTGATTTTATATATCTTTTAAGTTTATTAAGCTGTGTATAAATGAATACTCACATGCATTTTAATTAACCATGATACATATGTCAAACCCATCCAGCCAGCAAAGTGTTTCTAATATTACGTCTTCATTCAGCCCACGATTCTAGGGTAGGATTGGGTCTCCCCCTTCTCCAAGCATTTTTTTTACAATGTTCTGCTACAGGTGTGACACATTCAGCCCCCTGTCTGCTGAGAAAAGCTGGCTAAATAATTCTCAGCTAAAGACAATTTACCCTGAGATTGATTTATTGCTGGGTTTTTGAACTAACAGTTCATGCACGGGACACAGTTTGCTCTTTTTTGTTTCTTAATTGTTGTGATTTTTTTATTTTTTTTGCTTCGCTGAGAATGATTTAAACAAACGGCCATCTGTTCATAATGCATTCAGCGAGCTTTTAGAAAAAGATAAATACAGTTTAAAAGAAATATTACCTTTATTGCCTAAAATGTGTCAGAGTAAACTTTAATTGACTTTTTACTAAGCTGACACGACGCATGTCTCTGCTCGCACTGATCAATCACAACACAATGCACAAACGTATACACACACACAAACACACACATACTCTCTTATTAGTTTTAACTCAATCCTAGGGGTCAAACAATAGGAAACTAAGGGAATTTAGGGTTAATAAGTGCAATAACAATTTTCCACCAGCAGAGCCACATGGAAGCTGGAAATGGTATGCAAGGATCATCAGATAGACACTGCTTGCTACATCTTGACTGGAAGAGACTTATTAGAAAAAACCGCAACATTGTATCAAACCAAGCACAGGCCTGGATACGGGCTTTTTGGTCTGCTGTAAGGAAAACCTATAGGCTCCAACTCCAGATACACTCCAGATACACCTTCTGTTCAGGGGTTCACATTTAGCCGCATTAGGAGATTTAAAGGCAATTGAATTAGAAATTGCAAGGATTTAAAAACATTTAAAGGGACCAATGAATTAATTTCAACAATAATATAGTGTGGGGTGTGCAGAGGGAATAGTGTATATTACGTTGATTGCCTACAGAGGGCACTAGCAAGGAGACCGCATGGGATTAGCTGGAGTTTGTCATAATGTCTCTGCAGATTAGGCATAATACATTAAATTAAGACAGAGGAAAGCCCCAACCAGAGGGAGCACAGATGCATAACTACCAGAGATGCTAATAAAATACTAAATGTAGAAAACAATACAAGTTCAGCTCAAAACTCTAGTATAGTGATCGTTTAATGTTTTCGTGAAACATGCAAAGTGTCAGCCATAAACTCAGCCGGGACGTGATGTTTGCTGGACATTACCTACCCGTAGGGCCAGTAGACTGATTTGGATGAGTTTTCTAGAGAAACACATCCAGGCTAACGTGTTACATAGTTACATAGTTACATTGCTGAAAGAGACTTGCGTCCATCAAGTTCAGCCTTCCTCACATTTGTTTTTTGTTGTTAATCACAATTGAAGGCAAAAAAAAAACACTTCCAATTTTGCAACAAGCTAGGAAAAAAATTCCTTCTTGACCCCAGAATGGCAGTTAGATTTATCCTTGGATCAAGCAGCTATTACCCTACATTGAAAGATTATATCCTTGAATATTCTGTTTATGCATCTAGTAGCTGTTTGAACATCTGTATGGACGCTGATAAAACCACTTCTTCAGGCAAATAATTCCACATCCTTATTGTTCTTACAGTAAAAAAAAACCTTTCCTTTGCCTTAGACTAAATCTTCTTTCTTCCAGTCTAAACGCATGACCTTGTGTACTATGTAAAGGTATTGTCAGGTTAGTGAATTACTGAGAATCTTGTGAAATTATCCTACAAATTTTCTCACCATCCACAATATTGTGTTCTTTTAAATTTGTTTTCGACAAAGTTATCAACTCTACA